GCCAACCGCCTGCTTTGGCCCTGGGAGGCTGCCAGCCAAGTGCCCGCAGGTCCAGGGAGGGAGTCCATGGTGGCCAGGGAGAGCCTGCTCTGCTGAGGGAAGCAGAGGGCAGGGAGGAGGTGTCCTGCTCCTGGGACAGGATTTACCTCGCCCAGCTAGGGGCAGAGATAAGCCCAGCTAGGGGCAGAGATAAGCCGGGTGAAGGAAGGTGAAGGAAGGAATGCAGCCTGCTGGCTGGGCTCAGGGAGGCATAGGGTCTGCAGGCTCCCTGGGGAGGCAGGGCCCCAGCAGGCCCCTGAGCCCCAGGCTTGCCAACAAGGGAGGCTTGCCAGACAGCAAGGGCTGTTGGCCCCCACAAGCCTCTCTCTTTCTGTCTGGCATTCAGCACCCACCTGCGGAGATGGGGTACCTTGGAGGGAAGGTCTCCTACTGTCACAGAAATGAGGAAGTGAGCCCTCCGAGGCTGCAAATGCAGGGACATCAGAGTCCCTTTGGCCACAGGCCTCTTCCCAGATAGGATTTTTTTATATGTAATTGTAAAGTAATGTATGCTCACTGTAGAAAACTCACGAAGTCCCCAGAAAGGGTAGAGATGGGAGAACAAAAGTCCCTCATATCACAGCCCTGGGGTGGCCCTCCCAGCATCCTGGAGTGGTCCCCTCATCTGGGGGCATTTATGCTGAAACCACAATGTTTACACTCCAGGTCTCATAGGCTTTTTTCTGCCCAAACTGTAACATAAATATTTCCCCACCTCTTACAAATTTCTTCGTACTTAGCAGTGTTGTGTTATTAATCCTCACCTGAGAAGCTTTTCTTTTCATTGATTTTTAGAGAGTGGAAGGGAGGGGGAGAGGCACACAGAGAAATGTCGACGTGAGAGAGACACATCAATGGGTTGCCTCCCTCACACTCCCTGACTGGGGCTGGGGATAGAACCTGTAATCAAGGTAGTCGACCTTGACTGGAATCGAACCCTAAACCCTTCATCTGAGACTTAGGGTCTAACCACTGAGAAAACCAGCGAGGGCTCTATATATCATTTTAATAGCTATATTCAAATAGCTTATCAGTAATTTTTTTCATTGCTATCTTATAGTTTACAGTTTTTCATAATTATAAGTTTGCAGTGCCCCCCCTCCCCCTTCTTACCTTACTTTTGTCTGCATTTCATGTTATTAACTTATATAATTCCTAGAAATAGAATTACTGGGTCAAAGGGTATCCATGACTTTGAGTTTATTGATACATATTGCCAAGTTGCTTTTCAGAAAAATTTTACTAGTTTACCTTGTATTAGTAGTGATAGGAGTGCCTGCCTCATTTCACTACACTTACCAGCGTTGAGTAGAATCCAACTTGTATTTCCAGAACCACTTAGCCAAAGGCACCATGGGTATTTCTGTGCTTGCACTCACCTCACCCCTCTCTGTCTATCTGACAACTCACTCCCCGTGTCAGTCTGGCACTTCGACAGACTCTGCAGGCCAGCCTCAATGGGTCACTTCTATCTTCGCCTGTCCCACGGCCAGGACCCCAGGTAGTGCCACCTGCCCCACCCCAGCAGCTAGCTAAAGCTGCTGGAAGCCACACTTGTGAATTCTCCCAGGTAAACAGCCAATAGTGATCAGATAAAGGGAATCAGAATCCTAGAGTGGTTTGTCCTCAAGTTTTTGAGGGCTTAGATACACATTGGTGGATTTATAGAATGAGAAATGTACCCTACCTAGCCCAGCTGGCGTGGCTCAGTGGTTGAGTGTCGACTTATGAACCAGGAGGTCACTGTTCCATTCCCAGTCATCGCACATGCCGGGTTTCGGGCTTGTTCCCCAGTAGGGTGTGTGCAGGAGGCAGCCAATCAATGATTATCTCTCATCATTGATGTTTCTATCTCTCTCTCCCTTTCCTTTCCTCCCTATCTAAAAAGAAGGAAGGAAGGAAGGAAGGAAGGAAGGAAGGAAGGAAGGAAGGAAGGAAGGAAGGAAGGAAGGAAGGAAGGAAGGAAGGAAGGAAGGAAGGAATCCTGTTTCAGGCTCACAGCAGTTGTCAGGAAGAGACAGTGAGAAACGTCACCTATTGGGCATCTGCTGTATTTTCAGCCATTTGATCCCCATTTAGCTAGATGTGCCCAGTAACCCCATTAGGTGGGCACCAGGGCCTTCATTTGGATATAAGGAGACCAAGACTGAAATAGGTGAGATGAGGCTCTCAGCATCACTTGGGATAAGAGGTGGGCCTGGGATTTGAACCTGGTGGGTGCGGTGGCAGGGCTCAATCTCATACTCCACAGCAAGACCATTCAGAGCTATTTTGAGGACAACAGCAACCATGAGGGTCCCCAGAGCTTGTGGGCATCAGTGGACACTTTTTTGTTAAAACGGAGCAACCATGAGTTGTGGTGCTGGAGTCATGACGGGGTCCCTGGACAGACTGGAAACACCCACCATCACCGTCATTTTCAGGAACATTACCAGCAAAGTTTTCCTGGGGGCCCAGAATAGAGAGCTCTGGCCTAAAAAGGGTAACTATGCAGAGAGGGCTAAATGAAAATGTTTTCCTCAGTTATTTCGGGCTCTTAGTCAGTACTACGTTCTTTTGACAGAAGACTGCTCTGAAGGGGTTCTTTTATTACAGTCTTGCTGACAGAGCTCACAATATTTATTGAACGTTTCAGCTGTCACTTCTGTATAAATAAACAGGATGGAGAGGCCCGGCTGTATGTGGAGCTATTTTTAGGAGGGGGTGGCTTTGCAGACTGGAAGGCTAGTATTTCAGGGAGAGAGTCCTTATCCTAGAATATCCCCCACAGCACAGGCTCAGCCTCCAGTGGCCTCAGTCAGGGGGGTGGGGAGAGAGGTGGTCTGAGGGTCACAGCATCCTGGGTCAGAGGCTCCTTCCCATGCAGAGATGGCCACACATCCTTCTAAGGATATCCCAGCTCCACTTCTCAAGCACAGAGGATGGGAGGACAACATTTATGGTCAACAGTCACTGGGTCCGCAGAACACCCAGCACTACCTGCTGGTTTGGTGGGTCTGTGGTGGGGAGAAGACAGTCATTCACACCAGTATTTGTAACACATAACTAGGTGGTTAATCAACAACCATGCAAAGGGCTGGACATGGTTTTCAACAATCCCGGACACATTTAGCATGTACGTGTGCTAGGCACTGACATGTTCTAACTCATTCTCTTTTCACAATGAGATCCAACCTGTCAGGGCTTCCGTGGCTTCTTCCACTTGTGTTTTATACTTCCACTTGTGTTTCACATGAGAGAACCACATGCCCAGTGGGCACAGGTCCTGCACAGCCTCTGTGGTCTCTGCCCACCCTTTCCCTCCCAGACTCCTGCACTTTGCTCACTCACATGGTCTGGGGGAGGCTCCCTGCACCCTAGCACTTGAGGTAAAGGCCCAGAGAGTAGCCAGGCAGACAAAATAGTGACCAAGCGATTTGGAGACCATAAGATTACAGCTGGAGGCAGGGGCCTATGAAAGCCTCCCTCCGTCTCCCCAAATTGCTGGATGGCTTCTGCTCCATTTAATTACGTTCTAGATGAAAAACAAGGAAGTGTCTTTTAAATGTCTTCATTTTGCCTAGCCGGCATGATTCAGTGGTTGAGCAATTACCTATGAACCAGGAAGTCAGGGTTCGATTCCAGGTCAGGGCACATGCCCAGGTTGCAGGCTCAGTCCCCAGTAAAGGGTGTGCAGGAGGCAGCTGATCAATGATTCTTTCTCATCACTGATGTTTCTATCTCTCCCTTGCCCTTCCTCTCTGAAATCAATAAAAACATATATTTAAAAAAAATAAAAGTAAATAAATATCTTAATTTTACCAGTTAAGAAGCTCTTCATTTCTTTGTGTGGGTTCAAAATTCTGTTCTCTTCTTTTTACTGGAGAGTTTTAACATTTCTTGTAGCACAATGAATTCTCGCAGCTCTTTTTTCCTCTGAAAAGGTCTTTATTTCAACATCATATTTGAAAAAAAAAAAAATATATATATATATATTTTTAATATATTTTATTGATATTTCACAGAGAGGAGGAAGGGAGAGAGATAGAGAGCTAGAAACGTCGATGAGAGAGAAACATCAACCAGCTGCCTCTTGCACACCCCCTACCGGGGATGTGCCCGCAACCAATGTACATGCCCTTGACCGGAATTGAACCTGGGACCTTTCAGTCCGCAGACCAATGCTCTACCACTGAACCAAACTTGCTTCGGCTGAAAAATATTTTTAACTAGGTGTAGGATTCTGGGCAGACAGTTCCCCTGTGTCTACCACCAGTAATTTAAAGACCCCCATCATCTTTGGGCTTGCATAGTCTCTGGTGGGAAGTCAGCTGTGACTCATATCATTGTTCCCTGGAGGTGTCTTTTCTCTGACTCCAAGATTTATTTATTTTTTTCTCTTTATCTTGGTTTTCAGAGTTTGGCTTTGACACGTCTGTGTAGCTATTTGTGGTTGCTTTGGTTTTCCTGTCCTGTTAGGGGTAATTTAACCTTCTTGGGTTTGTGAATTGATGTTTCATATTTTGAAAAATTCTCAGTCATTATCTCTTCAAATATTCCTTCTTCCCCATTCCCTCTTCTCCTTCTGGAACTCAGATTACAAGTTGGGATTGATATCATTGAGAGTGTTGTGAATTTACTGCAGCTCTTTTCTTCTTGTGTTCCATTTTGGGTCATTCTACAGTCCTGTCTTCACATTCACTAAATTATTCCTCAGAATGGGCTGCAGATTTGCCCACCGGAAAGCTCATTGCCCTGAGCTGACATCCCACCTCTAGTCTGCCCTCAATGTGGAGAGCCCCTAGCTCAGGCCTCCCCTTAGTCGCTGCCTACCCAGGGATGACCACCTGTGGGTTTTTTTGTTTGTTTGTTTTTGTTTGTTTGTTTTTTACCTTGTTTGAAACTAGCCCACAGACTACAAGCACGGTGAGGCCAGCGTCAGTATTCCTTTTCCTCCTAACTACCTGCTTTTCTACCTGCAGGAGCTACGGAGAGCTCAGAGACTGCACCAAGTACGTGATGGATAGGCTGAACTGCTACTGGCCAAACGCCGCGGTCAACAAGTTCTTCATCTCCGTCCACCAGCGCTACTTCAGAAGCTGCCCTGTCTCTGGCCGGGCCCTGCAGGACCCGCCCATCAGCATCCTCTGCCCCTTCATCGTGGTGCCCATCCTGATGACCCTGCTCATGACTGGGCTGGTGGTCTGGAGAAGCAAGCGCACCGAGGGCGTTGTGTAGGCCGTGGCCCGGGAGCTGCCCCATGCTGAGGCTGCGGGCAGGCAGGGAGGCCGGCAAGCTCTGGGCCTGGCCTGGGAGTGGCTTCCTGGCCCTGACAGCAGAGCAGGCCCCAAGTCCCCTCGTCCCACCTGAGATCGGCTAACAGGATTTCGGAGCAGCCGTGGTGCAGGATTAACCTGGAAGCCCCCAGCGGGAGGTGAAGGCCGCCCTAGGAAGGGGGCTGGTGCTAGGAGGGAGCAGAACATAGCGGTCATTATTTCTGGGGAGTCTCCAATGTGTTTGCTCTCACCTCTAGCCAGACTGTGGATGAGGAGTTTGTGATTAAAAGGATGTCCTTGGATTTGGGGAGCGTCAGTATTTCTGGCTGTGGGACACAGTGGAAGTCGGGGAGAAACACTAGATGCTTCAGACTCTGTCTTCCCCTGCAGGCAGTGTGGCAGGGACCGGTGGCAGTGAGGCCTGGGTGTGCTGAGGTGCTCCACAGGACCCCGAGGCCCCACCCCTCCACAGTGCCTGGAACCACTGGCTCGGAGGACTGCGGTGCACAGGCATGCCGAGGCCAGGCTTGCTCAGACTCCCCAAGAATACCCCCAACCCCCAGGTCCAGGCTCTCACCACTCTGTCCTTGAGGATTTCACCTATTTCCTCTGGCTGTCCCTGCATCCAACACAGCTCTGTTCCCCATTCAGGATTCTTCCCATGCCTCCATGTGTAAACAGCTTCTAGAAGGCTCTGGATCCCCTAAGGGAGCTCCCACACTGTCCCTCCCAGATCTTCTCTGAGCTGAGCAACCCCTCAGGTGCCTGCAGCCCCCAGCTTGCCCCGCCCTCCAGCACCCTCTAGCCCAGGATCTGCCCTTTCTCACCCTGAGCAGCAGCCTCTCTGCCTCCGGTCAGCTGGCCAAAGCCATTACGTCTGGACTCTTCCACGCTAGCACACCACAGCCACGGGGTTCCCCATCCCACTGGTCAGGAAAGGGCACGGGTGTGGCCTCAAGAAACATGGGTTTCTGGAGTCCTCAGCACAGGACCAGGGAAGGGCTCTGAGCTATCTGCTAGACCCCAGCCTCCTCTGCCCTCAACTGTTGGAAACGGGGCTGTGAGAGCTGGAAGGAACGAGGGCAATTGTCTCCCGTTAATCCCGCTTCTCCCCAGGAAGCTGATGGCACAGGTGAGTCACGATTTGGGCTCCGGGACCGGAACCAGGTGGAGGAAGCTTCTGGTTGAGGACCTGGTGTCCCTAGTTTTGGGGATTCAGGAGGCTTCAGAAGCAGGGAGTGGCAGGAAGCAGCTGGAGGACCTCACACTGCACCTGAGGACAAAGGTGTCGACAGGTAAGGACAGCCCCCACCTGGCTGTGGTGGTCATCCCTCCTGTAAAGAGCTGCAGAGCCCCTGCTTCCTGCACCTGTGGGTCCTGGTCATTTCAGTAAAACCCCCCGCCTGGATCCACCGCTTGTGGCAGGGACTCCGGCCCCTCACTCCCAGGGCAGCCCCATGGTCCCCAGGTTTCCACAGGTGGTCAGGGCCCCATGGGGGTCTGCAGGGCCCCAGTACCTCACCCAGCGCTGAGCAGGGATCCTTCCAGAACCAGTTTGAGGGCTGTGGCATCTTCAAAGACAGGGGCCCTGCCTCCTATGTGCTTGCTTGGGTGTGTGTGTGTGTGTGTGTGTGTGTGTGTGGTTTTGGTATTATTAATATTATTGAAACTTTATTAAAAACAATTAACTTTCTAAAATAACTCAAAGTTTAGTTTCCTTGGGCTGTGGTAACAAATTAGCACAAACCAGGCAGCCTAAAACAGATTTTATTCTCTCAGTTTCCAGAGTCAGGAAGTCCCAATCATGGCTCTGGTGGGCCAGGCCCTCTGAAGCTCCCCAAAGGACCCCTCCCTTCTCTCCCTGCCTCAGGTCTCTGTTGGCACTCCCCGGCAGTCCTTGGCTTGTGGCTGCATCACACCAATCTCGCAATCTCGCTGTCTTCCCTGTGTGTGCTGAATCTCCTCTTCCTTGGACACCAGCCATACTAGATTTAGGGCCCACCCTGCCAGTGGGACCTCATTTTAGCTTAACTCATTCCCTCTGTAGAGACTCCATTTCCAAAGAAAGTCTTATCTGAACTTCCAGTGAACATGAATTTGGGGGACAACTTAGCAAACATAAGAGCTGGTGACACCTCTGTTCTCCCCTTTGTCAGGCCGTGACAGGGACAAGGCTGGGAACTGCTAATGACCTGGGGCAGAAGCGGTTTCCAAAACCCAGACAATCGGGTGACCGAACGAGGCCAGGAGCCCAGAAGTTCCTGATATAAATGCCTTGTCACCGGTGCTGGGGGGTGTGGCCCTGTCCAGGACCAGTTCTGGGTGGTAGCTGCCCTCAGCCCAGCCTGTGGGGGCCTTGGGTGGGCAGTTGACTTTTAGGAAAGTAAGTCCCTTCCTTCCTTCCTTCCTTCCTTCCTTCCTTCCTTCCTTCCTTCCTTCCTTCCTTCCTTCCTTCCTTCCTTCCTCTCCTCACCAGAGGACATGCTTAGAGAGAGGAAGTGGGTGCAGGGAGAGAGAGAAATAGGTAGCCTTCTGTATGTGCCCCGACCAGGGATCCAACCTGCAGCCTTTCGGTGCACAGATGACACCCCACCACCTGAGCCACTCCGGCCAAGCAGAAAATGAGCCTCAGATGCCTTGAGAACTGCTCCTGGAATCACTCTTCTGAGCAGGGCATTCTCCGGAGAGGTGCGGGCAGGCAGCGAGAGGGCCACAGGGTGTCTGGTTGGTGCTGCCACAGAATGAGCACCTGCCAAGATCGCAGGGAATGATGCTGGTGCCCTGGCTGCCTCAGAGAGCAGAGGCTGAGGTCAGTGGGGGAGCAGTGGGGTCCACGCTGGGGGTGGAGGAGAAGCAGGAACTGCAGGTGCTCCCCACCGAGAGGCACTGCTTGGACCTAGTGCGCCCCTCCTGTGCTCTGTCTGCCCTTTCCCCTGAGCCTGTCCCAGGGGCTCCCTGGGAGTACAGGAGGGGCAGTGGTGGGTCAAATCAGTCACACACGACCACCCTCCCTGTCCCAACCCTTTCCTACCCGCCTTGAAGCGTCTGCCACCCTGAGGGCCACCCAAGCAGGGGAGACCCGGCTGATGGAAGCAGCTGTCCTTCGGGGCCTTCTCTGACAGTCCAGGGACAGGGCCTGCAGGAACAGCTGGGAGCCGCTGGGCTGGCCAGGGAAACTGATGACAGCTTTCATTTAACAACTAAGATTGACCAGCTGGGAAAACGGCCTCTCTCAAGAGCTTTGTGCTGGAAATCCAAAGAAAAAAGTGTTAGAAGTCAAAGAACCCAACAAATGAAGGGAAAGGTCATGGGAAGTGGGATTGGCCAAGGACATGTTGTTCCCAAAGCCGCTCCTATCAGCAGCTCCTGGATAAAACTGCCCGGGACACAGGGCATCATCCTGTGAGCCTGAGGCAGCTCTGAGCTGAGCTCATCTTCACAGAAAGGAGTCCCTGCTGGGACGCAGCTGGAGCCACAGCTGGGGAGGACACATGGGGGGGGGGGGGGAGTGGGCTGGAATCCAGCAGGGCACAGGGCATTCCTTCCCAGAACTCCCAACCGAGATAAACCCCTGGGATGAAACTTCCCCTTCAAATTAGAAAGATGGACCCAAAGTCTGCGAATGTGTATTTCCAGTCATTCCCCTCCCAGGAATTCATCCCAAGGGTGTGATTAGAGACGGACAAAAGGCCTCGTGTGGGCTGCTCCGCACCAGGACCACTCACAGAGCAGACAAGTGGAGACATCCTCCGGCCACCGGAAAGGACCGTCCCCTCAGATTAAATCCAGATGACGGGAAGCAGTTTCCTAAAATTACGTACATGGAGTTTTTTCTCAGGCCATAGAGTTAATTGGAAAAGGCAGATTACAAAATAGGAAAGCGAAGTGATCTCAGTTTAAGGGTGTGTGTGTGTGTGTGTGTGTGTGTGTTTGTCCTGGAAATCCAAAGAAAAAAATCTGTTAGAAGTCAAAGAACCCAACAAATGAAGGGAAAGGGAGTGTACGTGTGAGTTTGTAAGTATGTTAGTGTGTGTAAATGTGTGTGTGTGTGTGTGTGTGTGTGTGTGTGTGTGTATGAGTGAGTGTGAACGCACACCCCCAGGCTATATCAAACTGAGGGACGATCATATAATGTGACTCATAGAAACAATCACAACACACTACATTGTGGATCTAGCTGCCGAGTCACAACTGCTGGGATGCCACTTCCCAGTAATGAAGGCCCCACAACATGGTGGTTAGGAGTCCCGGTGCTAGACTCGAACTTGCTGGACCCCTTCCCACCTGTGACTTTAGCAGCTTGCTCATCTCTGCTAATTGATGTTCTTGGAGGGATGGCCTAGCGTCAGTCATGTGCTCCATCCCCAGGACGGTGTGGTGTCCAAGCTCCAGTGAGAGGCTACTTGCCAGAGGATCAGTGTTTGGAGGTTGGGGATGGAGGGGAGCTGTAGAGGACCATGCAGGAGGCTGGGGGTTTTGAGATGGTGAGGGGAAAGTGTGCTTCATAATTTTATAAATGCTTTTCCATTTTTTAACATAACTGCCCTTTGGTTCCTTATGGAACAAATTCAGAAAAGACCCACAATACTTTTCAAGGCTATTTTCGGAGGTGAACTTGGATCTGACTTTGGTTTCTTCGTCATGGGACTGTGCTGAGATGGCCCAGAAGGTTTTCTGTCTTTACTCGGGTTCCATCACTGTGCCATGGGGATAAGAACACCAGCTTAAGGGCAGCTTAAAAAAACAGTTTCCTGCCCTTCCCTCAAAGTCATGCCTTCCCGCTAACCCCACCCCAGCCCCAGTCCCAGGACTGGGAGAGTCACCCAGGGATTCTCTCCCTCTGCTGGGTCCCTTTCCCAACAGACATTTGCCCACAATCTGGAGCAGTTTGCTCCCTGAGTTTCTGGGCTGGGAGGCAGGCAGGGGTGCCTGGAGGTCAGTGACGATGGCCATTTGTCTTTC